AAAAAGACTCTTGGACTTGTATAGACATAGGTTTTCCTGTGTGTCACTTTTGTACATACATTGAAGGGAACATATAAACACCATGTATTGGCTGAGGTCTTCCTAACCTCACGTCTTCGCTTTCAGAGTCTGACTCCTCTGAATCACTTTTCAACTCAGCTGATCCGTACCATTTATGGCCTTGCCGCTGGGCTCGCTGGCCGGCCTGCTGAGGGTGATGCAGGGCCATCAGCTCCCCCGTCTCCGTCTCCGGGAGGGAGTCAGTGCTGCTGCGGATTCCCCTTCTGCCAGCTGGGCTGCTGCCACTTTCTCGATCCTACCAGAAGGTGCCAGTGAAGTGCTTTAGAGTTTAACGACCTGGACTCATTCTTCTCCAAGTGGTTCTAATTGGTTTGCTAATTGAACACGCAGGGGTGTCGGTCAGTCACACCATGGAGAATGACAACCAAGGGCATTTGTGTGCAGGCAAGGACAGCGTTGTCACTGGCAACAGCAATTGTACGACCCACCTCAGGTTCAGGTGAAGACTGTATGTTTTAGGATTGAGGAAGTCAATTTAAAAATCTGAAAAAAGAAAATCATTTCCAAAAAGTCGAGGAGTCAGTGGATGCCGTCATTATTCCAGCGACTTAGTGATGTGGGGGCTCTGGGTGGACGTCTCTGTGCGTCTCCGGATCACAAGGTGGCAGTTGTGCCCACTCAAAGGCAGAAGCAGGGAGCAGGGTCAGGCCTTTCCCCAGTTATCAGGAAGAGGAAAAACCTGCCCCAGAAATCCCTTAGCGGATTCACCTTCCCTCCCCTTGGCCAGGACTGCCTCGCATGGCCATCCATGGCTACAGGGGAGGTTAAGAAAGCTGTTTTTTCTCATCATTTCAAGAATGGGGTTGGGGATGATGTTTGGATGGTCACCTAACAGTGTATCCCACTGTCGTCAGATACATCTGGGGTTCACTGAGTTAATCCAAAACACTGTAGGACTATCAAAGCTTTTAATACGGTAATGTGGCTCATCAAATTACGGAAAATATGCTATTAAGCTTTGCCAAACTTGGGGAATCCAAATTTATTTTCCTAAAATGGAGAACCCAACTTTGCTTAATGCCAGTGAACAACTCTTGCTTGTTCCCAGAATAAGGAAGTGAAGGTTCCCGGGAGCGGAGCTGAAGTGGCCCCACTGGAGGGTTGGGTTTGTGGAGAGTGACTAGAAATGGGGCTTTGAGTGGAGACAGGGCGGGGCTGAGAGGCTTAGAGATTAATGTTGACCATCTCGGCTGCTTTTGACGGGTACAGCTCATTTGTTTTCAAGAGCCTGGTGGCCCTGGTGCTGGGACTTCCTCACAGTCAGGGCTAGGTTGGTACCGAGCTATTATTACCTCCTCCTCTGTCCTAACCTCTGCCACTTCCAGTCTTCATGATGCCGGTGATATTGGAGCCAGGCTGGCTGGCTTCCGGGAGTGGACCGAGGCCTTTGTGAACTGGACGTGGGTGATGCCTGCTGCCGCTGTCCCTCAGGCACTGCTGAGCGTGGCGAGAGCTGGCAGGCCCGCTGATGGTTAGTTCCTGGTCAGCTATTTGGGCTTGGGATCATGAAACCCCTTCTGGTCCTTTGGCCAGAAGTGATCTTTTCTTTCTTTTTTAAATTTCCTCAGCAACTTGTGTGTTTTAGGCACAGTAGCAGTTACCATCACAGGAGGTGACATTTGTTGATGTTGTTGTTAATCCTCACCTGATGACATTTTTCCCATTGATTTTCCGAGAGAGTGGAAGGGATTGGGAAAAACGGAGAGAAACATTGATATGAGAGACACATTCATTGGTTGCCTCTCATGTGTGTCCCGACCGGAGCTGAGGATGGAGCCTGCAACCAAGTTACCTGACCTTAACTAGAATCAAACCCGGGACCCTTCAGTTCACAGGCTGATTCTCTTTAGGGTTCTCTATATAGTGTATCATGTCATCTGCAATTCAGATGCCTTCTATTTCTTTTTCTTTCTTCAGTCCGGGAGCCGACACTCTATGCACTGAGCCAAGTGGGCTAGGGCTCAAACAGTTACTATGCATTGGGCTTTGCCATGGGTTCTTCCATGGACATAATCTCACTTAGTCCTCATGGCCATCCTGCCACGAGAACGCTCTTCTGCAGACGAGAGTAGTGAGGCGTGAGGCAGAGAGCGG